GGGGACAGCGTGCTGGCGGGGAGCCGGGGGGCACAGACACACCTCGTGGCTCTTTTTTAGAAGAAACAGACCCAAACCCCGATTTTCAGTTTCTGTGCAACTCGTCTTCCTTTGCTGGAGGTTTTGCCTGCCTGAGCTCTTCAGCTTTATTTAAATCTTTTCGTAAATGTGTGCCCGCTGCCGCGAGGCAGCCGCTCTGAGGGCCGCTGTCCACTCCGGCCCGCCCGCCGGCCAGCCTGCGCAGTGGAGGCCGGGGCAGGCGCGGAGCTGGGCGACAGCGCGCCCGCTCAGGCCTCCGTGAGCGCAAGGGGTGTCCCTGCGGTTCCGGGGAGCATCTGACGCCCTCCGCCGCTGTGCCTTGGGGGGAGGCCCCGCTCGAGGGAGAGGCCAGCGGCCCTGCCGTCTGCCGGCCAGCGGGCAGCCCGAGTCGGGCAAGGGACTGTGGTGGGTGTGCACAGGCTGGCTCTGCCTGGGGGATCCTGGCCACGGGGCCCGTGGGGCGCAGCTGACCCCCCAAATGGAGCTAAGAGCCTCGGGACTTCAGCCTTCCCGCCGCCGGGTCACCTCGGCCGTGTGGCCTTGAGCCTTCACCTGCGGCCCCGGCACCCCGCAGGCTGCCCGGCGCTGCCAGCACTGCTGTCTCCACTGTGTGGCTGGGACACTGGGGGTGACGGCACGGAGGGGGTCGGGACATGGGGCCAGGCGAGCCAACCGAGAGGCCCGGGAATAAGATTTTCGTCCTGACCGTGGTGTAAATTCTTTCTTCTGAGATGCTGTCGTGGTGCCTGGAACGTGAGGCCACGCAGCTGACATCTTGTTGGGGTGACTTCCTGCCCAGACACGGCCACGGACAGCGCCGCCCGCACCTGCCTTCCTCTTTGCGTCTGCGCCTCCGAGTCCGGGAATCATGCTTGCCGGCCGCGGAAAGATGCTGACGGCGAAAATTAATTGACTTCTTCTTAGAGATACATAATAAAGGATAACTTCTTAAATTTGCTGGTGCAAGAAAATCAATCACTGCTGCTGCAAACAGACAAAAAGAGAGCTTTGCCTGCGTCTCTTGACAGTGATTTTGGGGGGGCTTTCATGAATTTCAAGCTGATGAGTACAGAAAGGGTACAGTGCCAGCAGTGAGTAGGAAGTTTATGATGGAGGATGACACACGGTGGGTGTCAGCAGGATCGAGAACGTTCTGGCAGCCAGCAGGGAGGCGTCGTGTGGGGGCAGCGGAGCAGGGCTCGGGCTGAGCCCCCCTTCTGCGGCCCGGCGCTGGCTGCCGCTCCTGGCCACGGCCCTGGTAAAGCCCGAGGGACTCCAGTTTTTAAATGTTTCTCAGTAAAATGTGAAGAGTTTTAGCACTACCCTGAATAATGAAAACAGAAGCCCCCGCTGACGGCCACTGCTGCTGTCAGCAGGCTGTGCGGGGCCTGGTCATGGAGGCGGAGAAGGGCGTGTCCTCGCCCGCGTGCCGAAGAGGAGGCTGACGGGACCTGACACATCGCCACGGACACCCATGTGGGAAAAGCTGGACCGGGCTCAGACCCAGCCGCCCTCTTGAAAGCTGAAGCGTTAAGCTCCAGCTGTCGGACGCCGCCGTCTGCAGGTGCGTTTCTTCATGAAACGCTCATTTTACACTGTTCTTGGTGGCGAACCTTCTGGATCGTCTGGAGGCGACAGGAAGGGGGGATCAGGACTCGCGCGTTACAGTGGCTGAAACTGCTACTCTCTGTTTATACTCTTGGAAATGTTTCAGGGAAATACACCAGGAAAGCCAAGTTGCGCAAGAAGCAATTTATACACCACAGAATATTGGCTGACGACGACTCCCCAGCATTTGTCTTCCACGAAAAACAAGTCCCATTTTTTTCAGCGTACAGTTTGTGAACATTTCGAAAATGCCCTTAATGCTCTCTGAAGTACCAGAGCCCTGGGCCTGAGTACAGGGGAGGCCCACACAGGTCGACCGCGGCCCGCGCGCTGCTGGTCTCTCAGCACTGTCTCTCCACCACCGCAAGGCCCTCACGTGAATGTGTGTCGGTGTAGACCTTCGTGTCCAGGAGTCTGCAGTGACTTTCCTCGAGCAGAGAGAGGCAGCTTTGTGAAGCGGCCGTGTGCTCAGCTGGGCTCTCCGAGCAGAGGCAGGGCGAGGGACACTCTGACACATCGGGACCTCTCAGGGCGGCAGCGGCCACAGCATGCACAGGCCGAAGTCGTGGGAGTCCGTCACGTAACTCACACAGCGCGGGGACGACAGCGTGGATTCTGGGGCCCGAGTCTCCCAGAGAGCAGTTCCTGTGGCTGCTTCACATAGGCGCCAGCTGTCACCGCGTCACTGTGCAGGACGCCCGCCCCGCTGAAGGGCTTCTCTTGCCAGGATCAAGGACTCGCTCCCTCCAGGTCTCCTTCTCCTGTCTCAGGAACAGATGATCCGTAGATGGCTGTTTTCTTTGAAAAGTGCTTTAAAATGATCTGAACGAGCTTCTGTGGAATGAACACAGTTACTCTTGGTTGTGGAACAACTTGGAACACCTCCAGGTGGCACGGGGGGGGGGGCGTGAACTGGGTGTGGGCAGCAGAGGGGAGGCTGCCTGGAGGACTGCAGCGCCGCGGAGAGTGCACCCCGACGCGGCGTGGTCTTGGCGTCAGCGCGTGTTCTGAGGTGGAGAGAGGCCGTGGCACAGGTAAGACAGCCGCTGCTCTGCCCACCGGCCCAACCCACAGCGCCTGCCCACTCCGGGCAGAGGCCTGGTTCTCAGCCGCAGGAGACATTTGCGGTGCTCAGGACTTAGGGAGGATTCCCGTCATCTCCTGGGGAGAGGCCAAGGATGCTGCTACCTAGCCTCCCCAGCTCCCTGGACAAGACAGAATTCTGCAGCCCAGAATGCCGACAATGCCTCTGCTGAGCAAGCCTAAGTGCAGACGTCTCTAATTGATGGGCTGGAGTAAGGACAACATCACTAAGGGAGAGTCTAGCGTCCAGCGCCTAGGGAGCCCTCGGCGGGAAGAGCGGGCGGGCACAGCTGAGCAGGGCCACGGGGTAAGCCCGCCGGCCTGGGGTGGCAGGAAGACACAGAAGGCGAGGACAGCCCTGACTTGATGTGAGTAGTTCAGCTTTCGGGTGATTCAGAGGGCAAAGGAGTCTTTCTGGCGTGGTGCTTGGCCAAGAACAGAAATGAATGCAAATCCTTACCACATACCCGGCACAAAAATTATCTTGAGGTAGAGCAGAGATTTAGCTGAAAATCTGAACCTATTAAAAACTCTAGGGAAAACCTAGGGAAAATCTTTCACACTGCAGTTATGTACAAAGATCTCTTTGAGAAAATGTGGAAAACAGCAGAGAAAAGAGTTGTTAAAAGTTTATCGAAAGTAACAATTTGCTCATCAAAAGGCATCATTGAAAAGGTAGACCACAATGGGGGGAAACATTCACCCCATTTCTGTCAAAAACCTTATGTTTAGAATATTGAGAAAGCCCTGTACTTAGTTCTGGGAAAATAAACAACCTAATTACAGGGCTGGCAGAGTATGTGCACACACATGCAATCACAGTGGGCGGTCAGTGGAAGCTGAACAGCACGTGAAAGCAGAGTGGACAGCATTGCCCATCGGAAAGGCAAGTAAAGACACAGGACGCAGCACACTCACGAGAACGGCTCACATGGCAAAGACCGACACCAAGCTTCAGCCAGGCTGTGGGTCAGCCGCAGCCGGCGGGGATGTGACACGGCCCAGATGACTCAGGTCAGTCTGGATTTCGGGGCAGTGGGTGTGTTTGTGTAGTAGAAATCTGGATTTATCTCAGGCATGGAAAAGACAAAGGGTCCTTGGGAATGCTGAGGTCGCGCACTGCCTCATTGCATGCGGACCCAGGCACGGCCCAGACCCCGGACAGAGGATGCTTTTTTTCTTAATGTGTTTCATCTATTCCATTTTATTTTTTCTTGCTAGTGTGTGTGTGTGTGTGTAATATTTATTTGTGCATACAGAACGGGGGCACAGGCCAGAGGCTCAGGGGCGGCGAGAGGCTTCCCCGGAGACAGAGCGGGGAGCAGAACAGGCAGATGGACGAAGTCCACTGCTGAGGGGAGCGCGGGCGGGTCAGGAGAGGTCTGCCGCGCCCTGTGGTCACCTCCGGGGCAGGCGGGGATCGAACTCAAGCGGAAGCGGCTTTAGCTTCTCAGTGCTGTGCTTTAACCCGCTGCGCCACCAGGGAGGGCCCAGAGGCCGCTTTTATACATATTTGCCTCCACACTGGTTACTCAGGTTGATGTTGTGTTATGACAGACAAAACCGTTGGTGGAGAGCAAGGCTGTGTGTCACAGCAAGGGCGCCCAACACGGTGGGAGGGGAGGCGACCCCCAGCCTCCAGAGGTTATTGCCAGGAGACAGACCCATATGGCCTGTCGCCTGGCTCTGCAAGGTGCCTTTGTTCAGAGTGGTGAGACTGGCCATGCATCTTCGCAGGGGGCGGACGTGCTCCTTAGCCTGCATTGGGACGTTCGTGGCGCCTGAACGCACCATCGGAGGATCTTTACGATGCTTGCCTGTTCGCGAGTGCTTTTCCTCATCATTTGAAATGCGGCTGCAGTGAGGGTCCCCTGTCTGTGCACACACGTGCACACACGCGCCTGTGTAGGCATGCACACACCAGATTACGAAAGGTCAGCTATTGAAGTAGTTTTAGCTTCCGTAACGCATATAAATTATCAGTGAGGCAGCAAAACTGCAAACCTGCACATTGAGTGGCGGGCAGCAGAGGGGTGATGAGAGACCCCACTTCACGCCACAGGGAGCAGGCGCTGAGGCACACGTCACGCATCGGGGTTTGGACAGCTGCTGCCTGCACGCGTCCTTCGTGTCTTCGCTCTCCCGCTCCCGCTCCCACCCCCGGGGCCTCCTCTGGCACGAGCTGCCCACTGCCCAGCGCTCTCGCTTTCTCACGGACTCTCGGTCATCGATCTTCTCTTCGAAGTCTCCATGCTCTGAACAGGCTCGTGTGCGAATGTGCGGTCTGACGAGATCTTTCCAAGTCAGGTAGTTTGAGGGATGCCTTCAGGGAAAGGAGCGCTGTCTCGCTCTGCTTCTGACAGCTTTCAGCCGCACTATTGACTGGAAACTACCCGGCTGCGAGTGGTTCCAGCGTCGTTGCGTGTCGGTGCAGCCTGTACAGAGTACCCCCGCCTGTCTGAGGGGAGATGGGGCTCATCTGAGTGCCTGTGTGGAATGAGAATCTGCAGACTTGCAACCTACTTTATTGAGAAGTGGAGGGGAGATGTGTTCTGCACATCTCAATTAGGGATATTAGTTCGCACTTTAATTTCCCTGAGGCCGAAACAAATGGGTACTGTGTGTCTTTCATCCAAACAGGAAGATGCTCCTCGGAAGGCCGGCTTCTTTGTTATTAAGGCGTGGCTTCTTCGCAGTGATCACGGGTGTTTGTCATCTGTGACTTGACACCGAGCTTTGGATCTGGAGGGCCCCAGGCCTCTGGCTGCAGATCCTGAGAGCGGGAAGTGCGCCTCAGCTTCTGGCCAGCGCCTGGGCATGGGGCAGCGGGCCAGGCCGGCGGCGGCTCCCCGCCGGGCCGGCTCTGGCAGGCTGTGCGAGGGCTCGCGTCAGCCCCGGGGCCGCGCAGATGCTGACCTCAGCGTGGCACATTCGGGGGGGCTCGGGCCGGACTCGCGGACTCAGCTGCTCGGGGGTCGTCTCGCGGGTGCCCAGCTCGCGGCCCTCGTGCCGAGTGCGCTCGCCGGCCGCCGCTGCTGGCCACACGTGCTGGCGTGCGCCTCACGGCCAAGCCTCCACCGGCCCGTGGACACTGGCGCTCTTTCGTCTCCTGGAGCTCAAGGTCTCAGCCCGGGGGGCTCTGGCGACTCGAACCCTGGCGGGAGGGGGTGGGTTTGGTGGTTTTTAGCCCGGTGATTTCTGGCCACAGGCCTGACCTTAGGACACCTTCGTGCTTAGAAGCGGCGTGGCAGATGCTGCCCGGTGCCCGAAGGCTGGTATGAAGCAGGGAAGACCAGAGAGACACGGTGCAGTGCACGAAATGGGAGCGGACGAAGCCTCTTGGCCCCGGGCTGTTGAGTGAAATTGAACCCCGGTGGCCCTCTACAGCTTCCGTGGCAGCTTTGCCCGCCAGGTCTGGGCGCGGGGGAGGGAGGCCAGCGGGGCGCCAGGCCAGCGGGGCTGCGGCGCCTTCTCATCCCGGGGCTCCCAGCCCTGCGGGGGGTCGGAGGCAGCGCCTCTGGGCACGTCCTGGCCCGGGGAGGCTCCCGGCCTGTCTGCTTTGCTGAGAGAACTCGGGGTGTCTGTGCCCACAGGCTGCGGGCCCGGGCTGCCTGGGCGGTGGCCGGACGGGGGGTGGGGGGGTGCGCGTCTGATCGTCTTAATGGTCCTCAGCTTACTCACGCTGTTTGACCAGCTGCCCGGGGACCTCCCCGCCCAGGGACCCCCAGCCGGCCCGTCTCTCGGGCATCCGCAGTTCGCACTGCTGCTCCTGCCCGTTTTCCGGGAGCCCCAGGCGCCGGTGCCCCACTGGCCACGCGGGCCCGGCCACCGCGAGCGCCTGCGGCCCCTCCCGCGCAGGAGCACAGGCGCTGCAGCGCTGTGTCCGGAGCCTGACGTGTGGGGGAGATCCAGGTGCGCCCTTGAGTGGGGGCGGGGCTGCTTTCCCGCTGACGTGTCTGCGCGCAGGCCTGGCCAGCGAGGGGGACGCAGGCGCTGCAGCTCCGGCGGGCGCAGCCGAGCCGTGTCCGGCACCGGGCTCCGTTTGGACGGGGGCCTGCACGTGTAGCGCGTCTGCGGGCGACCGCGTGGCGGATCGTGTGCGGGGCGCAGGTCGCGCGCAACGAGCAGCTGAGCAGCACGGGCACGCGGGAGACAAGGGGCCTCTGCGCGTCCGGAGGCCCCGAAGCCGGACGCTGAGGGAGCGGGCCGGGGCAGGCGGCACGTCCAGTCTGCTAAACACAGGCACCAGCAACGGGCAGCCTGGGGGAGATCGGCCGACGCAGCGGCTGGGCCCGTCCGGAGCGAGCAGCTGCAGCAGCGCCCAGGCCGTGGGGACAGAGGGACTCGGGCGGGAGCGGCCGCGCCTCGCCGCCCCCAGGGCTGCTGACGGCCGCCAGGGCCCAGCTCTCCGGCTCGGCCGGCTTGCTGGGGAGCGCGCCCTCGCTCACGGGCGCCCTCAGCAAACACGGGGCCCCTTGGTCAGGCGCGGGCTTCCTGGGTGGAGCCCGGGACGGGGACGGCCTCAAGCGCACACGCGCCCTCGGCCTCGGAGCCGGGCTGTCGCGGCTTTGGGGTTCTGCCCCACAGCTGCCAAGCACGACAAGGGGGACAGTTTCTGTTGACTTTGAGCCTGCTGCCGCAGGACCTCTCAGCCTCGATGTTTTGAGGTGTCTGTGGGTTGGGCACGACTGTGGTTTTCTGAGCAAGTCACTGAGCGAGCAAGTGGGCCCCGCGGTGAGATTAATGGCGCCGCGTGGGTGGCGCTGACAGGGCCGTGCTGAGCCTGGCGCTCGGGGCGTCGCCATCTGCTTTCCACATCACGTCGCAATAAGCGCGGCGCCGGCATCACCGGCCGGGCCGGACACGGCGTGGCGCGGGCAGGCGCCGCCCTCAGGCTCCTCAGCGTGCGATGCTGGCTCAGGGCCCTCGCGTGGCGCTCAGAGCGCGCAGGTTGCTGGAAGGAGACTGGAGGTGGAAACGGCTGTCAGTGAGAGGGGAAGAGGCATCTTGAGTCTTCGCGACGAGGAGCAGACAAAGTCACGTTTACTGTGAAGGCCACAGCACCTCCCCGGGAAGGCTGTGACCACATTCCAGTTCGGATGCCGTCACGCAAGCCTGCGACCTCCGCGTGACGTGCATCCACAGTGCGTGTGGCTGCGCCGTCGTGGCAGGCCCCGCGACCGCGGAAGTCCACGTGACCAGAGGTGAGTGACTTTCACTGAGGAGGAACCAGGAAAACGAGCCTTACGCGTACAGGGCTCCCCGTGTTTGCATCAGCGGCGGCTACGTAAGACGTTCAGCTCGCACTCCGACCTGCGCCGATGTGATTAACCTTCGGGTCGGTACATGAGCTTACCGGGCACGTCGCTGCCGAGTCTTTCATTGAGGACTTCAGCTGCCCTCAGAAGGTATCTGGAGCGTCTGGAATGCACTGAGTTTGTGACATTCTGCTTTGTCGTAGGCGAGTGGCTCATGGGTCCAAACATGACTTCCCTGGGACGGTCACCCCGCGTG